AAATGGAGATTATCTGAGACCAGTGAATGTGTGAATGTGGATTCTCTGCAGCAGGCGCTGGAAGGCTTGTAAAGGCAGAGAGTACAATGAACACAGCAAAGTACGGGAGGACACCCTGACGCAGTCTGGACGTGAACAGATTTGTTTTCCAGCAAGACAATAACCGGAATCATACAGCCAAAGCTCCACAGAAATGGTTTAAAGACAACAAGGTGAATGTTCTGGAGTGGGCGAGTCAGAGCCCAGATCTCATCCAAAACCTATCCACACAGATGAAATGCTGTAATTGTGGTCAGAGGTGCATCTCCCACATACTGAAGGAGGTGAATACTTGTGCAATCACCTTTTTTTTTTTTTTGAATTGCTAATTAATTATCATTATTTGCAGAAATCTGTTTGCACTTTGACGTGAAAGAGTCTTTTTTTTTGTAAATTCTAGTCGAAAAAAACCCGCCCAAAAAAATTATATTGACAATGACTCAATGCTAAAAAGCATAAAAGGAGAACACATCCAAGGGGGGTGAATACATTTTATAGACACAGTATCAGTGCCGGCTGGAGGGAATCAAAAACGAATAATGATCATCATACACTTGGATGAATGCAACCATGTGGAATTTTTAACTCTTGAGATCAGAAGACAGTCGCATATGCATCCATTTTAGTCGCAGTCTGGAGCCATGTTGAGCAAGATCAAGATCAAGTTTCACTTCTTAGTCTGCTCTACATTTTCCCTGTGACCCGTAAAGTATGAAATGTATTCTTTTCACTCGTCTCTCTCCTTCTGGACTCCATTTCTGTGTCATTCTTCCGTCTTCACTTCTCTCCCTCCCAACCTGTCTATTCTTTTACAACCACTGGCATATGACTAATAACATTTGTTCTTTTATTATCTCCTAATTGAGTATAAATGTGAGTTTTTAACTTGCCATTATTACATTTATTGTTGCATATATGCCAACAATCTTCTTAGTTTGATTGACATCCTACGCCTCTTCAATATTTCACCTCATCTCTCCCCGTCTCCCTCCTTCCCTCTATTAGCCCTGACACCGCCGGCCCTCTCCTCTCTCGCTCCTTCCTTTCTCTAATAGGTCTGGCATTCAAAGTTCCGTCCTCCCTTACTCCCATTTCTCCTTACGTCTCCATCCTGCTGTACTTTCCTCTAATATGGTTGACATTCTTTACCCTCTCCTCCCTCCATCTCTCCTGGCTGACTCAAACTAAAGTGCTGTCTGGAGGGCCCTTTCGTGGGCAGCAGAATTATAGCGCTCAGGGCCAAGGCCACAGGTTAAGTGCACTCTGAACAAAGGAAAAGTGACAAGAGGGCTGACTTCTACCTATGTGCACAGAGGAGGAAGAGGGGTTTATGTAAGACAAACTGGAGCTGGCGACAGGAAAACATTAGGTAATGATCTGAAACAAATGAATGTGTTACAAAGAAAAATGACCACCTGCTTTCTAAGTATTGAAAGTGTTCATGAGGAATGCAGCTCTAGGAATGGTGTTCTGCTGAATAGATAACCCTGAGAGACACCTTCAGGGACAATATATATATATATGTGTGTGTGTTAAAGCATTAACATTTACTTATCGTTTTCAAATACCTGCAGGCATTAAGGAAGAAAGGCAAGGCACGCTGTACACATGTTCTGCATGTCATTGAACCAGCCTGGTGAGCCTCTGAAACATCAGAAGGACACCAGATTCCCAGATGTATTTATCTTTATTCTGGAATATAAATGGAAAAGTGGTTATGCCCCACTGCACACTCTGCACCATGTCTGTATTTCCACTGAAATCCAATCTATCCCGTGCTATCACACTTGACAAGCTACAGGGCAGATGAGCTAACATCAGCCACCAGGCCTCTGCTGAATGTAAATTTATACATGACCTTCTATAAAAGCGATGTGTAGAAGTGATGCGATGTGTTAAATGCATGTGAATCCATACGTACCGTGTTTTGGAGCTAATGGGGCCATTCTACACACAGCACTTTGGATGCAGAAATGCAATTTTTTTTATAACTTTATTGCTCTTGAAGTGTGTTGGGGGGACTTGATCAGGACATTCCTCGTAGAATGCATCACAGTGAGTGTAAGTAAAGTTTGGGAACTGTAATGTAACAGTAGATTTAGTCTTTTATTGGCTGTTGGAATATTGCATAGGGCCTAGATTAGTGTGATGTGCTTTTCTGTTGTTTAAAGCTGACATATGATGTGAATATTTTGGAAAAAAACAACAACTACAACACAATTAAAAAAGAGCTATGACCGGGACGAAGTAGGTACTGAGAAGGACATTTTATGGTTTAAAAGGTAATTTGTCAGTGTTCTCGGGTGAATAAAATATGTGACAGTGATACTTTCTAAATGACCTCAAAATGATTTCTACCAGGGCTGCAAGGTGGCTTGGTGGTTAGCACCGTTGCCTCGCAGCTAGATTTGTGTCCTGGTTAGTACCCCGGGATCTTTCTGTGTGGAGTTTGCATGTTCTCCCCGTGCAGCGTGGGTTCTCTCCGGGTTCTCCGGCTTCCTCCCACAAGGTCCAAAAACATGTTGAGGTTAATTGGTGATTCTAAATTGTCCGTAGGTGTGAATGTGAGTGTGCTTGGTTGTCTGTCTCTAAGTGTGGCCCTGTGATAGACTGGTGACCTGTCCAGGGTGTCACCTGCCTTCACCCTGAGTCAGCTGGGATAGACTCCGGCCCCCCACGACCCCAGTGAGGATTAAGCGGTGGATAGATGATGAATGGATGATTTCTACCACCTCTTTAATTGTCTGCAAATTCAAACTAAATGTACACTATCTAGATATCTTTTTACTTATGATTTTTGGTCAACACAAGCTGCTATCAATGAAGCTGCAGAAAGCTAATGCTGGCTGACATGGTGACCAGGCTAATTTATTGGTGTAGGTCTAATGAGACAAACATATCACACTCTGATTAACTAATGAAACTTGATTAACTTATGTTGTTGCCATACACATGTATGCAGGCAGCTATCAAACGCTATATCATGCTGAATAAGTTTCATTAGACACACAGAAGACAGAAAGGGACGGCAATGTCTGTCGACTGTTATGCAACTTACTAAAATATCTCACAACTGTTGTAATTTTTAAAAATTGTTTCTTTACGACCACATAAATTATTTTAGGATTATACTATTTTGCTATACTGTAATTTTGTTCAAAGCAACATTATTATTTTCTGTACAGTTGTCATTATGACAAATTTATTATATCACTTTTATTATTGGTATCTCTCTTTTATTTTACTTTTTTGTCACTTATTTTTTTAACTGTGTATCCTGCGTGCGTATGTGTGTATAAATGTATGTACATGTGGGTATGTAGGTGTGTATATGTGTATAGGAATGTGGTGTACATACTCCTGTTCCTATTCTTATGTATATTTTGTGACACTATTATTTTTATTTTATTTTATTTTATTTTATTTTAATGGGGTTTTTTTGGTTGTTGTTTTCTTTTTTTTGTCTTTTACATTTCTATGTTCTGGATATATCCGAGGCAAACAATAAAAATTTTTAAATTAAAAAACAACAACAACAACAACAAAAAATCCAGACACCATACAGGCTGTAGGAAAGTCTCAGGCAAAATAAAGTAGAATTACGTTGTCAGTTCTTGAAAGTGCTGTTGATGCACACCAGAATGCGGCGCAGAAAGAAAATGAAGAACAGCTGGAAAATAATTTAATAAATAAATCGTGGGTGGTGGTGAAGTGGCTTTATGAAAACTTACAAAAATATGATTGGAAATTGATTTCTTCAGTTTTATAAGCAGAATCTTTGCAGGTTGCTTTACTAATGACATACTGCTTCATTTTCTGTTAGTAGAAAATGGTGAAGTATGTTGATATTTTTACTGGCAAAACAATATAGTTTAATATTCATCACAGTTCGTAGTAAATACTGTGCAGAATTATTCTGCAGCATGGATTTGGGGCATCCATGAAACTAAAACGATGGCTTTGCATTGCTGTCCCACACAGGCAGCCTCGTAAAACAGCGACTGCTCTTCAGATATGTTTTTATAACACTGTGTATGTTGTTTCTGCATCCTGTTCAATGGTATACAAGGTTTCATAAGCTTTGTGCTCTCAGGATTCTGCTGCATACGTGCTGAAATGCAATAATACACAAACTGACTCACAAGCACACATTGTACTGTACATAAAAAAAAATGCTGAACTATAGGTCAAAGCCTGCTGGCTCTGCAACAGTGAAGCAACATGAGCGAAACACCCACAAAGCATCATGGGACCAGGATGATGTGGGTGTATTGATTTCTATGTGGGAGTGGGGCAGAGGGGTGGAGCTAAAACTGGAAATGCAGCAGATGACGGATACCCATCGAGTGAACTTTAAATGGGCATGTGGGGGAGGAGTGGATGTGATGGAGCAGGGCGAACTGAGCCAGTAATAAAAAAAAAAAAACAAAAAAGAAAAAACAGCTGAGTGGGAGGGAGGGAGTTGAAGGGTGGGGCTGGTGTCACAGCAGCCACACCTCACCATGGAAACGGTTGCTTAGCGATATTGCAAGGCCGGCCAATATATTCTGACCGCTGAATTTACTAGCGCCACCTTTCACCTGGTGATGTACGATTGATAAAAAAAAAAAAAAAAAAAGTGTGTGTGCAGAATATGTCATTATGAAGCATTGATCCATCTGCGGAGTTATCAGCGAGAAATATTTTCTGTACAGCTTCTGCTACATTATGAGCCTCTGAGAAAATAAACAGCATTTCAGAACATTTATCTTAAACTTTGTTTCACAGCAGAGAAACGCTTTGTCAGATGCAACCTCTCGGATACACAGTTTTGCAGACTTGACCTCGCTGGGTGTAAAACTAAAGGCTGAATCAGGCCAAGTTTTGTTTCTCAGACGTTTCGCCTTTCAAAATGCCGTGAACTGGAGAGAACATTATTGGTTTTCTGTACAGTTACAATTCAAAGAGTTGCGGATTCTCACCTGGCAGAAGACAGGTTTGTAAGTTTCAGAGAAGAGCTGGGTCAGTTCTTCAGAGTCACAGAGGTCCAGCGGCAGTCGGTCCACACACAGACACTTGGAGTGCAGGTTCTCCTCTTGGCTCAGCTGGTTGACGTCCATCCACTGCACCATCAGCGATCGATCCCCCTGCAACAATCAGCCGTGTGACACAGAATCACATTGTTAAGATCCTCAACTGACTCCACACGCCTACGCATCATGAGCACTCTATAAATTCTGCATTGCATAAGCGTGACATACAATATTCATAAATATGGCTTCACTCGCTGTTGTAAGTGCTGATTTGGGAGCTCGTCAGGCCTCGAGCCCAGAGATTCTGTCTCGAACGCTGCTAAAGCAATCACAACTGCGGGGGGAAAGACAAACTATTGTACGGAGGGGACAGACTTTGGAGAGATGCTGCAGATGATGTTTTCATCATTCCTTCTCGCAGATAATTTTGGTGTTTACACTTCAATTTTACATTTTTCACTCAGGCAGAAAAAATTGAAAAACCAAACTCAACTGGCAGAGCCTGTATTTCGACTGATTATGTGTTCTCCATTATGTTGCCAGTTTTTACCAACCACGACTGATGATCACAAGTTTCGGCCAAGTTTTGTGGGAGCAAACAGCTCGATGTGAGAAAAAAAACACTGAAATGCATCACTCTTCTTTCCACTCATTTTTATGTTTGAATCTAATCAGGCCAGCTGCTCGCACTTTTGTTTTGATTTGTATAAAACTTTCAAAATATGCAGCGTTCTTTATCTAATCTTGCATAATCACATCCTTTGTTACAACTATTCAACTTAAAGTCATATATTTTCAGCTCCTTGTGGGAGTGTTTCAGGTTTCTACTGCTAAAGACGATGACTTGTGGCTGAAGAAACTCAAATGCATCCTTTGTTTTTATATAAAAAGGTTCAATGAATCTACATTACCTTTTTAAGATCATTTTAAAGCTTCCTCCTCTTATTACACACTACAGATATGCAGCAGTAGATCTTTCTTTGCTCTCACGTACCAGTGGCCGGCCCAGCAGCTCGGAGCGTGCCCGTGAAGCAGAGTCCTTCTTCATGTATTCAACAAACCCATATCCTTTGGAGTGGCCCGTCAGCTCACTGTACACCAGGAAGGAGCGCTCGATGTTTCCGTACGAGCGCACCAGCTCCTCAAACTGCTGGGCGGTGAAGGTGTGCGGCAGGTTGGTGAGGCAGAGCAGGGAGTCGGTGGGCTGCAGGGTGACGTTGATCAGGCGTCCACGGACAGTGCTGTGGTGGAGGGAGCGGATGGCATCCTGAGCCTGGTCCCCGTTCAGCAAAGTCACAAAGGCTGGAGGAGGGGACATTATGGAGACAGCGACGAGGGGAGAAGACGGACGAACACAAAGAAAGGGATGCACACGCAAAGATGGACAGAGAGACGAGCGGGCGGACACGAACATACACTCAAAGCGGACATTGAAATACAGGCAGAGAGCAGTCGATGGAGGATGCAGGATGGGAGACACACAGTCAAAGGACATGCTCAAAACAACTCGCACGGAAAGCAAAGGAAATAAATGACAGGCCAAATGTGGCAGAAAGAAAAAGCGGGAAAATTGGGCAAGAACAACCGAAACCCACAGACACACAGTCATAAAGACAGACGGACAGACAGATACACAGAGAGAAAGACAACACATTAGCTAGAAAGCCAATAGGGAGCCACTATGTAGGGGGAATCCACTGTGACACACACACATACACACCTTACTGCATTTAAAAACAACAGCCTGACTGATCATTTACAGAACCAGTTATAATAATGAACACGGCATTAACAGGCAGAATTTTCTAAGCAGTTATTCACTGTCAAGGTATTTGTGATTCCTGCAGACAGATGTTAGCCTCTTCTGCCAGCAGAAATGATTTACTACATGATAATAAAGCTAATAAAACATCAGATGTATAAAAAAAAATGAGCAACAAAAGACTGTCTGTATGGATGTTGTCAGTTTTTGTCAAGGAGCTCAGTGTTTGGTTTAGTAGGTGTGCTTACAGTGCTGTTTGTCTGTCTGTGATTATGCAAAAACGACCCAGCAGGATTCATGAATCTTGGTGGAGGTTTGGAGCGTTGGTGAAGGAGGAACCCATAAAATTTTGGTGTGGATCTGGACCACTTTCATTAAATTTTCAAGATAGGCCATTGGCTGCACTGCACTTCTAATTAAATTTTCTGAAGGAGGTTTTTAGCCTACAAAATGAGACAAGATTACATTATTACATGTCCTTTAAGTCTAATGAGAAGGTTCTGATATTTCATATTAAGTTACAGTTTCTCCTATTAGTCACTACTACATTTCTAATCGGCTTTCTTTCCTATAAACTGTGACATCTTGTCCAACATGGAAAAAAATACAAACAGCGCTAAGGCCCATTAATACAACCACACACATTAAAGTGACAGTAAAGGCAAAGTAGCAAAGGCCAGAAACCTTTAAAGTGATCTGTAAAAGTAAAACTTACATCACATCAAAACAGCTATCGACAGATTCCTGGGCTGTGAAGTAAAGTGGTAATACATTTGCATGGAATGTGCACCTAAAAGCTTGATATTTTAGATGTTTTTGCTTGAGAGCAAAAACAAATGTTAAGATATGATTTGTTTGTGTTGCACTGGTTGAGTAAAGAAATGAATCACACTATTACAGTATAGCTGCAAGAATAGGTTAATGACACATTTGGATTCACTGTAAGAGGAATTCTGCACTGATTATTCATAAAATGTGTTCTGATCTCCATCTAAGTCCCATTTACAGACAAATCTACAATGTCTGCCTGCACTAACAACACACAAACAGTTGTGTGTTTTCGTGTCCTCATTGAACACACTGAGCGATCGCTCACAGTGCAGCCTGAAAAAGTAAACTCTCGAATTTAGTAACCCATCAAACCTTCTGAGCTGCAAGGTGACTCGGTGGTTAGCACCGTTGCCTCGCAGCTAGAAGGTCGCTGTTTGCATCCCGGTGAGGACACCCGGGATGTTTCTGCGTGGAGTTTGCATGTTCTCCCCGTGCAGTGTGGGTTCTCTCTGGGTTCTCCGGCTTCCTCCCACAAGGTCCAAAAACATGTTGAGGTTAATTGGTGATTCTAAATTGTCCGTAGGCGTGAATGTGAGTGTGCTTGGTTGTCTGTCTCTAAGTGTAGCCCTGTGATAGACTGGTGACCTGTCCAGGGTGTCCCCTGCCTTCACCCTGAGTCAGCTGGGATAGACTCCAGCCCCACTGGGACCCTAGTGAGGATTAGGCGGTGTATAGAAAATGAATGGATGGTTGGATCAAACCTCCAGCTACAGTTCTTTCCCGTTGCTGCTTATGAGACTTGCACAACAATGAGGGAAAATTCTGGACCGTTCCTCCCGACAAAACAATTTCCGTTCATCAGTAATTCTGGCATGCCTTGATTGAACAGCTCTCTTCAGGTCACGCTGCAGCAACTCAATTGGGTGAACGTTAGGACCTGGCTGTTCTAAAACATGAATTTTCTTTCCTTTCAACCATTCTGGTGATTGAGTTATTTGTGAGGGTCGTTGTTTTGTTATATCATCCAGCCTCTCCTAAGCTTCAGGTCAGGGCTTCCCTGAAAATGTCATGTAAACGTTCTGGATGGAATTCTGGATTCATTGCTCCCCAAACAACTGAAAGGAATCCATGTCATCAAGCAGCAAACTATGCACTGTGTTGAACAGTTGTATGGAGGTTTGGGAGTTGCTGTAGTATTTTGCATATTTGCTAAAAAAGTATATATACACAAAATTAAATTAAATAAAAAAATCAACATGGGTTTCATCTATCCACAGCACATTGTCCCAACATTGAGAATCGTTGTGGTGGTCTTTTGCAAACTTGAGACATGAGCAGTGATTTCCTTGGTGGTGTTCTCCCATTAACAGCATTTTTATTTTGTATTTTCTCACACAGTGCACATAAACACAGATTTTAGCGAGTTGTAGGTGTTTGTGAAGGAGTTTTGCTGTTACCCTTTTTCACTTCTTTCAGGATTGTACTTGATGTGACCTTGCTCTCCTAGAGAGAGCAGCAGCAGCCCTGAATTTACTTGATTTGTAGAAACTTTGTTTTGCTGCAGACTGACGAACAACGTTGTCCTCAGAAATGTTTTTGTAGCCTTTAACAGTTTGTGTATCTCTATAATGCCTCTACTAGGGTCCTGTGAAAGTTATTTTGATTAAAGGCAAACGTCACACCAACAAATCTCTGAAGAACAACACTTGGTCTGTAACCAGACTTTGCCTGGGGGGAACCTCGACAACCCAAGGTTCCAAGTGTGTTTAATAAAGCCATAAAAAGTACAACTGTTCGTGTGTCTTAGTTCAATCAGATTGTGATGATCTATAATTATGACTTTGATAAAAATCAGACCACATTTAAAGTGCAGTCGATGCTGAAATTCTAAAGGGTCCACATTTTTTTTTCTTCCAATTGTATGTAAAAGAATCTCAAAGGATTTAAAACAATATATGCACTCAAACAGACATTACAATGGATAACTACAGTTGAACCACAAAACCCAACCAGGAGGGAGCACCGTCACTAAATAAAATCGATTCATTCATATTAAAGCTTACAAAAAGCTGAGATGGTGGATAGAGTATCCAACAAATTTAGCGTAACTCTCGACATATATTTTAGAGAATCCTGTGAAAATGGTTAGATGAGGAAAAGAGACTTTCCACCACCTCCTTAAATAAATAACTGACATGATGAGACCAGCAGTTTAAACCAAGCACAGCACTGTGCAGCTCTCAGGTTTGAATGTTTAAATCAGTATGCACTGCTGTAATAAAAAAAAAAATACCTGCAGCACTGTCTGGCATCGCAAGTGTCAAAAGACTAACCGTATTCATTTGAATTGTAAACATCTAGCCATGCTACGGTCGTATGAACACACACGCTGCAGGCAAGGGCAAAGCAAACAAATATATAACAACAGAGTGTGATACCGAGAAACAACTTCCGAGGTCCAGCATCACCATGGTGATGTAGATAAAAATGTTTTCTAATAAACAACTTCCTTCAAACCGCCAGTGGTCAGAGCTGAATTGCATCACTTCTTGTGCCCATATGTGATCAAATTAAATCCATGCCTTATTTACAGTACAGTAGAACGGCGCACAGTTTACCCAGTCCGGTACAGAACAACACACACTGGCAGAGCTTTTCGTGCCGAGCCGAAGACCTCCTCAACGACGAGGGCCAGGCTGGTCAAAGTTTGTGAAATGTGAATACAACAACTAAAGACAGGTGTGCCTTACACTATGAGCTTTTTGACCTGGAGAAAAATATCACAGTGCCTGAGGAAAATGCTGCTTTGTTCCCGCACAGCTGCCCCTGCAGCTATGCACCTGTATGAGAGCACAACCCAATGTCTTTTTATCAAAGCTTCGAGCTCACCTGCTGTGGTCCTGACCTAAAAGTCATGCACGTATTGTCCCTGAAATACTGTCTTAAGAGCTTCACCGTTGTACATCATGTACTGCCTTTGTGTATAAACTGGCTCCTGCTGGGGTAACTACTGTGCCCACGGTGCAAACATGTTCTGTGCCAACACACACCTATTACTGATATTACTTCATGCTGGTTGCAATGTGTTTTACTGTTCCATTTCCTCCCTCTTTGCTCCCTGCCTTCAGTGGGACTGACCATACAGTCGGAAATAGATGGAACTCTACTTATATTGTACGTTGATAGTAATGGACAGCATAGTGATGTGATGTTTCGAAATGACTACAGATGAAAGGCAGAGGAAGTCAGAGTATTTTTGCACACAAGTGTCCTGATTATGGCCAGTTTCTGAAATCTCTTTTTTGTGTTTTTCCATAATGATGCTACATGTCGGAGTGAAAGTGAGCCTGGCAGCTGGTGATGTGGAGGAATAGTTGAGTAACACTTGTAGCTCTTGTCTTCCATTACGGATGACGAAATAGAGAAGCCTCATCCAGGAGAGTTAGTGTTGAAATGCAGCATTGTTCAGGTCAACCAAGCAGGCCTCATTCTCATGTACAAGGACAACGCCGTCTGTATTTAAATGATAGAGTCAAAGACAGTGATGAGACTCCTGGATTATGTGACATCATGTCTTAAAGGGGAGACAAAGGCTATCCTTCATTTCCTACTTGTGAAGGGAAGCAATTTATTTCTGATGATTTTTGATAAGGGGCCAGACATTAAACCACCTTGGAGGTTTCAAAGACACATGACGTTAGTGCGAAATGTTTAATCCACTACGAGCGAGCTGACATCAAACACAGGCGAGGTTCTGCCCAAAATTGTC